TATAATTAATTTTTTTTTTTATAAAAATTACAAGTTAGATAAGCCTTTTTAAAATTTAAAAAATGCTTATAATACGATAGGATTGTAATTTTAGCAAACAACTCCTGTTTTTGATTTGGACAGGCATGTAATGCTTTTGTGCCAATGTATATCCAGATGAAAATTAATGCTACTATTCAAAAAATGAAATTAATGTTACCTTAAGTCATTTTATGGGTGCACTTCTAAGTGGGTGTAATAATATATTTATAATACCTTCTCACAAAGGAAAAATAAGAGCACAGTTATTGTCACTCAAAATTTTTTTATTAATATTACATGAATAATTTGTTTAATTATTAAAAATAATTATATTTTTAGGTTAAATCTCCAATTTGGTCCCTGAACTATTGTACGAACCCCAAATTTGGTCCATAAACTAAAAAAAATTCCTGATTTGGTCCTTAAATTATTGTATGGACCCACGATTTGGTCCTTGCGGTTTACCAATTTGCCCCAAATTAGTCATTTCGTATAAAAAAAACCTGATGTATCTAGTATTGAATGGCAAAAAACAGTAATTTAACGACTAAAAACAGTAACTTAACGGTCATGTGTCACATTAATAACGAGACATGTTAACTGTTTTTATATAGAATGACCAATTTGGGGTAAATTTGTAAACAGTAGCAATCAAATTGAGGATCTATACAATAGTTCAAGGACCAAATTATGGATTTTTTTAGTTCAGGAACCAAATTACAGGGTTTGTATAATAATTTAGGGATCAAATTGGAGATTTAACTTATTTTTTACCTAAAAAATCTTGACAAATCTTAATTATTAAAAATATTTATATAAATTATTGTATAAAATTTATATATAAATAAAATTTTCTTCTATGCATATATAAATGGTTAAGATTATATATATATATATACACAGACAACATACTGTTATAGTCAATTGAGGTTCCTTTCCTTCCGGTCACACTTAGAAGAGACGTGTGCTGTACCCTAAAGTTGGATGCGACGCTAATGGAAAATCAACTATAGGATATTCAAAAATTCACTTTCTTAGTCTTCGCCAATAAGATAGGAGGAGGTAGATGAGTAAGTCCGTATATATGTGCGAGTTCAAATCCTTTGGATTATTTTATCCCTTTTTTTTTTTTTTTTGACAAAAATTCCTTCTTAAGCCATCAAATTTAGCTTAAAATATTATTTAAGTCCTTAAATTAAAAATAAAACAAATAAGTTTTCTAACTTCATTAATGATGTAAATAAGTCCTTTTCATTCATGAGTATTTATGTTTTCAAGATGATATTAAACATGAAATACCGTTTGGTTTTTTTTTTTTAGAAGGGTTTATTTGTATTGTTAATGGAGTTGAGGGTTTATCTACTTTATTTCTAGTTTAAGAACTTAAATACTATTTCGGAGTAAGTTTGGGGGCTTAAGATGGATTTTTTCTCTCTTTTTCTTTTTTTTTTTTTTTTTTTTCTCGTTTCCAAGGATTCTTTTATACTCTACTGCCCAAAATGCATTTGTTTGGAAACAGAGACATGTCAAATTAATTGGACATTTCTTCTTCACTTGTCCTCTTTATGACATTTTTTCCATCCACTTATGTAAATGCACGACACATGATGTCCGAATCTTTCATTTCACTTGTTGAATTTTCAGCAAGAAGCAAGCTTCTTCTCATATGCACGGTCCGTGCCGCGAGCCTATTGAACGATTAAAACTACACTTTTTAAAATTGAATTTATCTAGCCTTTACTCTAATAATACAGTTTTTTCCTTTTTTTTTTACCAATTATTTGTTGGTTTAAATAGAAAAAGTTTGATTTTGTTTAAACAAAATCTAAGTTAAAATATTGTGAATAAAAAATAAATGTTAAGAAAGTTTTCTAATTTATGGAATTCACGCACTTTAATGTCGAATTAATCAAAATCTAATATAACTACCAAATATCAAATGGTTAATACAAAAAAAAGTAATTTTTTTTATCTTGATTATATAATAGAAAAAAAAATCACTTTTTCATTCATTGCTTTATCTTACTTATATACAACTTAAATTTTAAATTTTGTATTTTAATAATATGATTAAAATATATTAATTGTATTATTTTGTAATAAATTATTATAAAAAA